CTACTCATCCATCCTTACCCACACATCCCTATCCCTCCATCCTTTCCCACTATTCCCTTGCTCCCTTCTCTACCCTTCCATCCTAACCCACACATCCCTATCCCTCCATCCTCACTCACTTTATCCATCGATCCCTACCCATCCATCCTTACCCACTTATGCCTACACGTCCATTTGATGTTCCACAGTGATTTCCCCAGAGGTAAAATAAAATGCCCATATGTTTAAAAAACACCACCAAAGGTCACCAAGCTTACCAACAATGAGCATCAGCATGATCTCGTTAAAGAACACTTGTCTAATAGCGTGTGTGTCTACCCTGTAGCGTCCCTTTGGCAGAGTTAGTCCATATTCAGGCCCGTAGCCAGCGATTTCAAAAGGATGGTTCTTTTTTTCTGAAAAAGTACATGTAGACCTTTTATAATAAAACCCTTCAGTACCTAGATCAAATTTTGTCCAGAAATTACCGTTTCCCCANAGACACTTTTTTTACAAATCATTGTAAAATGTGAGGAAAAAAAAAAAGTAACAATAATATTAACGTAAAAGATTTACTGTCCTGATTTGCCGTTTTCTCCCATATGTAACTGATACCACATGAGTGGAGGAGTCATTAGAGAAAGCGAACGCAGAAGATGAAAGGCATTCAACGCCCCCCCCCCCCTCCTGCTTCTTAACACAGCTCTCTTTCTCTTCCTTTCTCACACACTTTCTCTCTCTAATCATTCAATAGATTTTCTGCTTTTTTTCCTTTACTTATTTTTTCCTTTCTCTACAAGATTATATATTTGTAAAGGCATTGAACGCCCCTCCTGTATCTTCCCACATCTGTTTCTCTTTGTCTCTCTCTCCCTCTCTGTCACACACACACACACACACTTTCTCTTTCTGATCTTTCAATAGGTTGTCTGACTTGGACCCCATTCCCAGAGATAAGATCGATCCAACTAGATCGACTTAACTCCCTGGGTGTTCACGCTAAATAGCTGTCAGCCGAGCGGGCACGAAAGTTAATTACCCCCTTACAGCTTGTAGTAGGCGGGACGGACATTTAAGCCGGATTATTTGACAGTAATCTAGTGAGACTCCCCACGAGGATAGATCGATCTAAAATCTATGGGGATGCGCCCTTACTTCTTTTTTTTCAATTCTATATAATATAATATAATATAATTAAAAAATTACAATAAATGCAGTGCGATATTTAACAGATATGTGGACAAGACAATATTTTATATGTTACAACTCCTGCGCTCGCTCTCAACATATGGTATATGCTCCATTTGGGAGAAAACGACACGGGGGTTGAGAGAATCTTTTCCCTTCTTTTTGTCTTTTTCACTTAAGAGAGAGAGAGAGAGAAGCGGAGGGCGTTTTAATATCTTACAAATTATGCGGGTAATTCTTTTCCTTTTTTTGTTGTTTTAACTATAGGATAGACGATGTCATCATACAAAGAAATTGATTTTTTTGGGTGAACTAAAGAATAACTTATGTATGCGAAAGAAGGAAGAGAAGGGGGGGGGAAGGGGGGGGGGGGAGTAAATACCTC